GGGGGAAAAGCATTGTTACCGGTGCCATTGTCTTCTTTCAAAACCTTTCGGCACAGGCCGGGCTAGCACGGAGTGGAAGCAGTGAGGCAAGCTGTCCGGATGGCTCATCAGCCTGGCTCTTTCTGTGAGGCTCCGGGTTACAGACCCGCCGTGGTACAGGAGAGACACAATTCGTCTTGCGATCTGCTTGGACTGTCTAAGCACTGGAGACGGAACCAAGCAATTTCCACCCAGAGAAATATACTTTAGTTCTAAGCAGGCTTGAGTGGACGGTCACTCCACAGGTGACCCCAAATGGGGAGAGTAGTTCTGTGTAACCCTTTCACTTCTGAAGCCTCGCTACTTCTGCACACTGTGCCAGCCATGACACATGGCACTATAGGGGCATGTTTACTAGGCTCCTTTAGCCTACAGAAGAGAAGAGCGAGGGGGGATTTGAGAGCAGCCTTTAACTCCCTGAAGGGGGGTTCCAAAGAGGCTGGAGAGAGGCTGTTCTCAGTGGTGGCAGATGGCAGAATGAGGAGCAATGGGCTCAAGTTGCAGTGGGGGAGGTCTAGGTTGGATATTAGGAGAACTATTTCCCTGGGAGGGTGGGGAAGCGCTGGGATGGGTTCCCTAGGGAGGGGGTGGAATCTCCATCCCTAGAGGTGTTTGAGTCCCGGCTTGACACAGCTCTGGCTGGGTTGATTGAGTTGGGGTTGGTCCTGCTTTGAGCAGGGGGTTAGACTTGATGCCATCTCTGTCTCTTTCTCCCTCTGCATTTATACCCCACTTGTCGCCCCTCTACAGTATTTGAATGCCTCTAATAATATCCTTATTGGACAGCTGGAGAAACTGAGGCCTGGAGAGGTGCTGTAACTTCCCCAAGGAACACGGCAATGGCAAAGCAGGTAGAAGAGCCCAAGAATCCTGGCTCACACCTCTGGGCTCTAACCACTAGATAACACTGCTCTGTTGTGAGAGGAGTCTGGCCTGTGGGATCAGTCTGACAGACACGATGGGGGAGAGAATCTTGTGTGAAAGCTGCTGCCCAGAGTCTTGGAAGGAAGTCTGGAGTCTGTTCCTAGCTCTGCCATACATTGGCTGTGCGATCTCGGACAAGCCAACTTCTCTGGATCTCGGTTCCCGCCTCTGTGAAATGGGGATAAGAATATTGCTCTTCGGCCTGTCTCCTGCTCTTTGCCTGCCTGGTACCGATCGAGGGGGAGCCCTTCAAAGAAGGAACCATCTCATGTGGGTTTCTACCACACCCCGCACAAACTTGGGTGGCTCGTCTAGGTAACCGACTGTCTCAGGGGAGTGAGAACCAAGTCCCTGAGCCAGCAAAATATGTACACGCAAGCTTAAAGTTCTCCCTCTTCCCCCCTCCCCGCCCCGCCCCCGCCAGCCAGCAGACAGAGCGAGCTGGTTCCTAGGGGCTTCTGAAAACAGTCCTGGCCAAACCGGGCGACTGTCTAGCGCTCGCCTTGGGGCAGAAATGCCTCCCAGCCCTACACGTCAGGGGCTGTTCTAGCAACCACCATCTACCCCCGCCTAGCAGTGGCTTTGCCTTTGTCAAGTCGCTGATTAGCCCCTTCCCCCTCCACAGAGGTAGCGAGGTTTTGCAGGCTGCGTTCCTCATTGGTCCTGCTTTGGGCAGGGGGCGGGACTCGATGACCTCTTCGGGTGTGTCTACACCACAACGTTATTTCAGAATAACGGCCGTTTTTCCGAAGTAACAATGCGAGCAGCCACACAGCCATTCCGTTATTTCAAAATAATTTTGAAATAACGAACGGCTTATGCCGCCTTCTGTAAACCTCATTCTGTGAGGAATAACTCCTCTTCCGAAATAGCCATTTCGAAATAAGGCATGTGTAGACGCTCCACTGCTTCTGTTTCGAAATAGCCCCTCGCGGAGGCCATTCTATGTTATTCCTCCTGGTGCTCAAAATCGAGATAGCACGTCTACATTAGGGAAGCCTGCCTCAAACTCATTTTGAGGCTTCCCTGCAGTGTAGACGTGCTATTTCGAAATGAGCTATTTTGGAATAACTGTTCCGGAATAGCTTATTCCGAAATAACTGTGCAGTATAGACAGAGCCTTCCACCCTAGGAGTCTATGATTCTCATGATGTGTTCTTGAGAAATAACAAAGCAAACCAAGCCCATCTCGAAGACGTACTGACGCCCTTGCGGTCGAGTCCCGAATCCACTCATTGGTCTAGAACAGGTTGAACCTCCCTAATCCAGCCCCCTCGGCACCTGGCCAATGTCACATCAGAGAATTTGCCAAACCACAGATCAATATAATAGAATCATAGAACTGGAAGAGATCTCAGAAGGTCATCAAGTCCAGCCCCCTGCTCTAGGCAGGACCAATCCCAACTAAATCATCTAGCATCATCAATGCTTCTACTACTTCCTGGGCTCTCAGAAGACAGGTAGGGGTAAATCCGAGCTAAATCACAGCACAGAACACTGAGAATCAGGCCTGGTGGCTGTAAACAAACTTCATGGGACTGCGGGAAACTTGGCCACACCCATGAGAAGTGGACATCCGGCTCACTAAAATCATGCCGGACCCCAGACGTTGCTGGACTAGAGTGGTTCAACCTGTATTGTGTTGCTTGTAAAAGGGTGAGATGCAGGGGACTCCCTAGGGGTCACCGGTCCCATTGGCTGCTACCTTCCGCATCAGATGATGCGATGCAGAAATACCGTTTCACGCCCCAGAAAGTTAATTATGCGCTGTTTTATTTGCTGGGGTTTGTGTCCCCTCCCTCCCCCATCCCCTTTTCTTTCCATTTATTTATTTGTTTTTGTTTATTTTTAAACGCTTTCCCAGATTTCCCTCCTGGGTGACTTTGGAATTAATTCGATCAACGCACGCCTGGCGAAGCAAACTGTAATTTTTACCCTGGAGTTAGGACTGGCTCAGGGATAGCTCCTCCAAAGGGAAAGAAATGAATCTGTGCATTCTCCCAGAAAGAGGTCACAGTTGCCTGCAGGGCCAGTGTGTCATGCTTTCTATTCTGAAATTCAACCATCCTGCAACTTGGAATTTCAGATTTTCCTCTTGGCTCCCTGCTCTGCCAGGGCGAGACGCGGGGATGCACAGCAAGAACGGTCATCGGCGGAAGGCCTGATTCGGCAGAGTAGTGAGGCAAGCGCTTCTCTCCAGCCCTCCTGGCCTGTTCAGAGGAGGCTTCGTGTCTAAAGTGACGCTGGAGGGGGATTGTGACAGACACACACAAGTGACACCCTGGCCTGGCTGAAGTCAAGGAGAGTTTTGCCTTTGATTTCACTGGGGTCAGCGTCTCACCAGTGGGATGTAGATGCCCGAGTCACTTGTGTCTTTACAGGACACTCGCGCTCTTGCGGCTTTCGTTGTACTAACGAAGAAGCAGCGGGAGGGAGTGGGACGAGAGGGGGGTTCTACTCCCAGCTTGCATGCTGGCCTTCTGCAGGATGTCGGGTGAAGCCTTTCATAGAATCCTAGGGCTGGAAGAGACCTCAGGAGTCATCGACCCCCTGCCCAAAGCAGGACCAACCCCAACTCAATCATCCCAGCCAGGGCTTTGTCAAGCCAGGATTTAAAAACCTCTAGGGATGGAGATTCCACCCCCTCTCTAGGGAACCCATCCCAGTGCTCCCCCACCCTCCTAGGGAAATAGCTCTTCCTAATATCCAACCTAGACCTTCCCCACTGCATCCTGAGACCTTTGCTCCTTGTCTGTCATCCCCTGAGAACAGCCTCTCTCCAGCCTCTTTGGAACCCCCCTTCAGGGAGTTGAAGGCTGCTCTCAAATCCCCCGTTACTCTTCTCTTCTGCAGACTAAATAATCCCAAATCCCTCAGCCTCTCCTCCTAAATCATGTGCTCCATCCTCTTCATCATTTTGGTTGCTCTCCGCTTAACTCTCTCGAACGCCTCCACATCCTTTCTGTAATGGGGGGGGGGCCCAGAATTGGATGCAACACTCCAGATGTGGCCTCACCAGAGCTGAATAAAGGGGAATAATCACTTCCTGAGATTTGCTGGCCATGCTCCTCCTAATACACCCCAATTTGCTGTTAGCCTTCATGGCTACAAGGGCACCCTGTTGACTCCTCTTCGGCATCTCCTCCACTGCAATCCCCAGTCTTTTTCTGCAGAACTGCTGCTTAGCCAGTCGGTCCCCAGCCTGTTGCTGTACTTGGGATTCTTCTGTCCCACGTGCAGGACTTGTCCTTATTGAACTTCACCCGATTCCTTTCTTTCATGTCTTTGCGCCTCTGTTTTTCCCAGCTGTGGATGGGGTTGAAGTTACTGCCCTTTGCTGTACAGCGCTTGGAGATGGGCAGATGAGTGGTGCAAATGAGAATGAGGGGCGGAGTGGGGCAGTTAGGGAGTTGGTTACAGCATGGTCTGTTCCGTCGCATTTCTTTTGCGCCAGAGACTTTTCGAAAAAGGGTCGTGTTTCGACAACAGGCCCAGAGCCTTTCTGTGGCCTTTGAGATCGGAGAAATAGCATTTTTAGCATCAGGGCCTTTTGCTGTTACATATTTAACAGTGGTGTCAGAGGGCTTGGAGTGGAATCAGACTCAAAACCAAGTCCAAGTCCCTGCCCAAGAAGTCTATAATCAGAGACCCCCAATCCTGCACCGGGATCTGAGAACGACCCCCGATTGCTACCCAGCATGCCCTTGGAGTGGGAGAGGTCCATTATTTCTCTGTGGGCAGTGGGATCATGGGCTGGTTATTAGAGCTGGTGGGGGAAGCTGGTATTTAAGATGACACGCGTAAGCAAAAAGATCATGGCTTGAAAAGTTTTGGTGTCCCGGGGGGACATTTTGCAGCAATGCAAGGCCAAAAAAAAATCCCCTTTTCATGGTAATAACGGTTCATTTCATTTACTGGAAACCAAAAAAGCCAAAGCAACATTTAAATTCAAACAGACAAGAGGCGCCCTCTGCCCTTTTTCAGCTGGCTTACCTAAGACCGATCTCAATGGTGTGTCTCCTTCCCTCTCTGCGTAGGGCCGGCTGGGCACAGCAGCCCCCTCTTAACCTCGCTGCCGATTCCGGGGCGACCCCTGCACCCGCCACTGGACATCAAGCACTTCCTGACCTTTCGACTCAATGGGACGTCCCCGCTCAACCTGTTCCCCAACTTCAACACGGTGAGTTGTTCTGTGGGCCCCAGAAACTTTCAGGCCAGAGCCGGTGATGTCCGTGGCTCCTCCCCAGCGCAAGGGGACGGTGTCGGGAGAGGGGGGCCAGCTGGGGCAGACAACCCAGCATCAAGGGTGTGATGCTCATTGCTCTCTGCAGAATCCTGTCTATTGCGTTCCACTCTCAGGGAGGGAGAAAGGAACATTCCAAAGATGGGGGGGGGGGAGCTGGGACAAAAAGCAGCACGTTAGCCAGGGGGGTGACTCTTGGTCTGGCCCGGGAGACCAGTTGCTCTGCGTGGACAGACAGACTCAGGCCATGGCTCCTGGGTATCTGCCCGGCTGCTTGGCTTCAAAGGGAGCTGAGATGCTCCCTTCTTGGCAGGAGTTGGCCTCTGGGCCACCCGCTGCGTTCAGAAGTGCTAAACTCCCATGGGTTGGGCCAGATTTACAGGTCAGCAGCTTCTGCCAAAAGCAATGGGACCTGGAGCCTCGTGAACGCCTGATAACCCCACCCCCGAGAACCCACTCTGGGCTCCCTCCGATCCTTAGGTGCCGAGCCTGAAGGAGCCGTTTGCACTTAACCATGAAGGGCAAGGATCAGTGCCGTCCAATACTGAATGGGTTACGGGAAGGACAACAGGCGGCGTGATACATTCAGTGTCACTCGTTCGGTGTCACAGAACAGATTAATGGCAGATCAGGGGAGAGAATCTAAATCTCAGGCATCACGTTTCCAGAAAGATGTGGAGAAATCGGAGAGGGTCCAGAGAAGAGCAACGAAAATGATGAAAGGTCTAGAGAACATGAGCTATGAGGGAAGACTGAAAGAATTGGGCGTGTTTAGTTTAGAAAGGAGAAAACCAAGAGGGGGCATGATAGCAGCTTTCAGTTACTTAAAAGGGTGGTACAAGGAGGAGGGAGAAAAAAGTGTTCTCCTTGGCCTCTGGCAATGGGCTTAAACTGCAGCAAGGGAGGTTTAGGTTGGACATTAGGAAAAACTTCCTACCTGTCAGGGTGGTGAAACACTGGAATAAATTGCCTTGGGAGCTTGTAGAATCTCCATCACTGGAGATATTTAAGAGCAGGTTAGATGGGCATCTATCGGGGTGATCTAGATGGTGGTTGGTCCTGCTGTGAGGGCAGGGGACTAGACTCAATGACCCTTCGAGGTCCCTTCCAGTTCTAGGATTCTAGGATCTCCTGGGACCCGACCCAGTGCTCTACAGATTGACCCGAGCTGCCTTATTCTTATTGAGTCTCATCACCCTGTAAATTACAGTCAAGCCCTAGTGGCTGTGCATTTGAGCAGCCTTCCCGGAGAGATCTGGGTGCTTCCCAGCTGATTAGCAGAGCGCCCACAGCCATCCGCATGTGTGTCGACTGCTGGTGCACATCTGCATATGCCTTGGTGCACGTAACAAAATGTATTCTGCACATGGATGAAAACGATTAGCAGGAACATTGCCTAGCGGAGCCCTTATTATTCTGTTGACTTCCAGCCACTTTCCACACCAGCCCACTTAATTTTTTGATTTGCTAAAAGGTCTTTTGGGCAGTAAACTGCTGATGCAAATTTGCCTATTTGTCACTCTCACCTGGAAGGGAAGCGCGTTTGCTGGCTTAGAGCACTCGCTCGGTGGGTCTGTTGCTGCCGAGGGAGGACTTTGAAACCGACCCAGGAGACACATGCCCACTTTTGAAACGGGGTGCATCCGAGATGAATCCCATGCAGGGCCATTCATCACTATTATAGACAGGCATTTTTAAATGGTTCATTTCAACCAAGATCAATTGGGTTTTGCTCCCCGAATCAATAGCAGTAAAGTAGCTTTGGAGGGTCATTTTAAGAGTTTAAACACAGAAGAAAAGGGTGTCTAAGAGTGCAGGGTATCTGTCAGCTGCCATCTATTCAAGTGCCGTGCTCAGACCTGCTTGCTCATTGCATAATCGCTCTCGTTAGTTTTCTAACTTCAAGGTCATTCCACCGGCGAGCCCAGGCCTCGGCTGTGTGATATTTATATAATAAAGTCTCAGGCTTCCAATCTCTTCCTTCTCCTTTGCCCCCTTAACCACTGAGGAATATCAGGGCCTCCTCCCTTTAATTGGTTGCATTAAAATTTCCATTTAAACCTTTTTTTTTTCCCATTGGAAAGTGGCTTTTTTAACTAATTGGATATTTTTCGCATCCCCCCTTCTCCCTTCCTCCCTCCCAAAACAAGGTCGGTTTTAAAGTTTTGGATTCTTTTAATGAAATGTTTTAATTACATTTTAATGTCAAAAATCAAGGGTGTTTTTTGAATATATAATTGTCATCAAAACATTTCCTAGGGGGTGGAGGGGAATAATTTGCCAAGCAGCTGGAAGGAAACTCTGTGCTGCTGTTTGCAACAGTGGTCTTTGGGTTTCCCTGGGGAGGCCACATATGGATGGATACTCAAGATGCGTCTACACAGCACCGTGACTTGAAATAAGATATGCAACTTGAGTGACACAAATTGCGTATCTTCTTTCCATGCTGTTTCGAAATAGCTTATTTTGCCATTTGGCACTGTCTACACAGCACCAAATTTCAAAATAAAGCGTTATTCCGAAACGCCCCGTACTCCTCGTAGAAATGAGGTTTACAGAGATGTCAGAATAGTGAGCCCGACATAACAGATTTGCTGTGAGGACGTGGGATAGCTATTTCAAGATACTCTGGTATCTTGACATAGCATCATAGAGCAGCAAAGAAATCCCAGTGAGTCGGTTGTGCTTGTGTAATCATCACCAGGTGGATTTGAACCTGGGACCTCTAGAGCTTAGTGTTGGAGCATCTATAGCTTGAGCACTAAAGCCAGCTGCCTCTCACTTTCAGCTGAAGAGCTCACTTGTTCTTATCTCTTGCCGTAAGTGGTGTAAGTGCCACTACATGGGATAGTGAACCATGTCAGAGGCATGTCTAAACTACATTTCTCCTTTGAAAGAGCAATGTAAATGAGGCCAATCGAAAATTCAAATGAAGTGTGGATTTACAAATTTCACGTTTCATTTGCATAATCGCGTGAGAGTGCTTTTTCGAAAAAGGTTTTTTCGAAAAAGAAACTGCCGTCTAGACTGGGTTCTTTAAAAAAAACAAAAAAAACCTTCTTCAAAAGAACTCATACACCTCATTTTTTCAGGAGTACAGGTTCTTTCAAAAGAGGATGGTTTTTTTTTTTGAAAGAACCTCATCTAGATTGTGGTTTCTTTTTTGAAAAACCCTTTTTCGAAAAAGCGCTCTCACGCGATTATGCAAATGAAACGTGAGATTTGTAAATCCACACTTCATTTGAATTTTTGATTGGTCTCATTTACATTCCTCTTTCAAATCGAAAATTCAAATGAAGTGTGGATTTACAAATCTCACGTTTCATTTGCATAATCGCGTGAGAGCGCTTTTTCGAAAAAGGGTTTTTCAAAAAAGAAACCACAATCTAGATGAGGTTCTTTCAAAAAAAAAAACCATCCTCTTTTGAAAGAACCTGTACTCCTGAAAAAATGAGGTGTATGGGTTCTTTCGAAGAAGGTGGTTTTTTTTTTTTGTTTTTTTTGTTTTTTAAAGAACCCAGTCTAGACTGCGGTTTCTTTTTCGAAAAACCCTTTTTCGAAAAAGCGCTCTCACGCGATTATGCAAATGAAACGTGAGATTTGTAAATCCACACTTCATTTGAATTTTCGATCGGCCTCATTTACATTCTTCTTTTGAAGAAGGAATGTAGTTTAGACGTAGCCTAGGTGTGTGGGTTACAATTGGAAGACATGGTGGGGAGGGGCGTGGCTTGCCATAATTAATGGTGAAAGAGAGCCAGTCCCGATTTTTTTTCATCCTCCATTGGAGATTCTGACTTGACATGCTGGGAGATGGGCTTGTCTTTTACATCTCTGACTTGATGGAATTGTAGAAGCTAGAAAGTCAAAGACCTGGCTCGTCACCTCTTTGAAGAGGCGTCGTTGTGGCCTGACAGGCTGGGTACAGGGCCAGGAGACCGGAAATCAGTTCTGGGCTCTGGGTGAACACGGGCGAGTCACTTAGACCAAACTTGACAAACATGCCTGCGGACGCAGGAATTACTACAGGGCAGCTCTGGTAGGCATCGGGATGTGAAATATCGGTTAACTGAATAGTCGGGTAACCTTGCGAATTCTTATTGGTTACTTGACTAGTCTATAGTCTCCAGGGAGACGCGGAGCGGCTTTTCTCAGCAGACACCTCAGCTTGAGAATAAAGGACTGAGAGAAGTGAGGTGCGGGAGAATAAAACTGAGCTCTGGAGAAATGTTTGGCTAGAGTTTCCCCTACAATATGTACCAGTTCCGACTTACATACAAATTCAACTTAAGAACAAACCTACAGTCCCTATCTTGTACGTAACCCGGGGACTTCCTGTAAATGCATGTAGCCTTAACCTATAAGCTTTTGCTTATCGGTTAATTGATTAATCAACTCTACTATTATATCCCTAGTAAGCAGGCACTCAGACCAGCTGATCACAGTAGTTCCTTCTGGCGGTGTAACCTACTAAAGTGAAGCACTAAAATCTTGACTTACTCCAGGAGCGCCGAGCGCTCAGCGCTGCTGAAAACAAAGTGGTGCTTGTGTGGCTAGTTAGACATGTAACTACATAAGTGTAGGCCTCTGTGTTTGACAGCTCAGGTCTATGGTGAGTCCCTCTGTGCCCCATTCCCCCTCCTCAGTGAGCCCCTCTGCGCCCCGTTCCCCCTCCTCAGTCCTCAGTGAGCCCCTCTGCGCCCCGTTCCCCCCCCTCAGTGAGCCCCTCTGCGCCCCGTTCCCCCTCTCCAATGCAGAGTTTGACACTGACCTTCCTTGTGTAAATGACTTTGAGTTTCAGGGATGACATGTGCTATGGAAGGGCGGGTGATTATTGCTGCTTATTTACAGGAAGGTTTTCCAAAACCTTCTGGGGAGGGAGGCTTTCCCCAGCTCC